GGATTAATGTTAGTTCACAAACTGGTTTCTGAACAGCTTTTAAACTAGTCACCTGGTTTCTAAACTGGTTTCTAGACTGGGTTCCTGACATTAGTTCCCAAATTGGTTTATGAACAGGTTTTAAACTATGGTAGTCACCTGGTTTCTAAACTGGTTTCTAGACTGGGTTCCTGACATTAGTTCCCAAACTGGTTTATGAACAGGTTTTAAACTACGGTAGTCAACTGGTTTCTAAACTGGTTTCTAGACTGGGTTCCTGACATTAGTTCCCAAACTGGTTTATGAACAGGTTTTAAACTACGGTAGTTACCTGGTTTCTAAACTGGTTTTTAGACTGGGTTCCTGATTTTGTATTTTAACTAAACTGGTTTCTTGGGGTCCAAACCGGTTTCCAAACTAGTTTTTAGACTGGTTTCTAGACTGGGTTCCTGAGCTTAATGTTGGTTCACAAACTGGTTTCTGAACCAGTTTTAAACTAATCACAAACTGGTTTCCTAATTTGTATATTTCCTAAACTGGTTTTTTTGGGCTTCAAACCAGTTTCCAAACTGGTTTCTTGGTATCTATACTAGCTTCTAAACTGGTTTCCTTGTTTTCAGCTTGGGTTTCTGGTTTCTAAACTGCTTTCAATCTGGTTTCTTAGTTTCCAAACTAATTTCGTAAGAGTCATACTGGTTCCCAAACTGATTTCTCAACTGGTTTGTTGGGCTCCAAACTGTTTTCCAAACTGATTTCTAGACTGGGTTCCTGAGATTAATGTTGGTTCCCAAACTGGTTTCTGAACAGGTTTTAAACCAGTCACCTGGTTTCTAAACTGGTTTCCTGATTTGTATATTAATTCCTAAACTGGTTTCTTGCGCTCCAAACCGGTTTCCAAACTAGTTTTTAGACTGGTTTCTAGACTGGGTTCCTGAGCTTAATGTTGGTTCACAAACTGGTTTCTGAACCAGTTTTAAACTAATCACAAACTGGTTTCCTAATTTGTATATTTCCTAAACTGGTTTCTTGGGCTTCAAACCGGTTTCCAAACTGGTTTCTTGGTATCTATACTAGCTTCTAAACTGGTTTCCTTGTTTTCAGCTTGGGTTTCTGGTTTCTAAACTGCGTTCAGTCTGGTTTCTTAGTTTCCAAACTAATTTCGTAAGATTCATACTGGTTTCCAAACTGATTTCTCAACTGGTTTGTTGGGCTCCAAACTGTTTTCCAAACTGATTTCTAGACTGGGTTCCTGAGATTAATGTTGGTTCCCAAACTGGTTTCTGAACAGGTTTTGAACCAGTCACCTGGTTTCTAAACTGGTTTCCTGATTTGTATATTAATTCCTAAACTTGTTTCTTGCGCTCCAAACCGGTTTCCATACTGGTTTCTTGGTATTCAGACAAGTTTCCTGTGAATGATGTCTTTGATTTCTTCTGTTTGACTCAAGCAGTCACTCCGTAGTAGAAACTGAATTCTCCCTCAGATCTCTCAAACTCTTCTATCTTTTAAAGTTTTTTTTTCTCTAAGCTTTTTCATTTTGAACGTGTAGCCCCGACCTCCTCCTCTTCCTCATTACGTTCCTGAACTGGAGCGGCTCTGATGGGTTTTCCTTTCCAGGCGGTGTAACTCGGTCTTCAGCTCCCCGCAGATCCTCCCACCTTTCCGGTTTTCACTCACTCAGAACCCCCCCACTCCCACCCCCCGTGGGATTTGAACCTGTGAACGACTTTACCGCCAGCAAAAACCCACAAGTATTTCCAAATTCCTGTCGATCCAAACCTCCCAGCTTCCATCAGTTCTGAGTCCTCTTTTCTCCTGTTGTGGATCGCTGTGGGTCAGAAGCGTTCAGTTCAGGATTATTTAACTAAAAACACTCAATTCAAATCTTAATATTTATAATCAACACTGAAACAGAATGTTAAAATTGTTCTGTTTGACAACAAAACTGAAATACAAACGGACCACAGAATCAAAGGCTGGACTTCGTTTATGACCGGCTGTAGGTAAAAGGTCATTTCACATCGAGTCACTTTTTCAGAAACATTGGGCTCTGAGATCAGGTGATTTGACCTGACGCGTTGTCTACAACACGCGTGTTAAAGCCCCGGTCCTCGTCAGACACAAACAGCTCGGCCTGTCGGCACGTCCCCCGATCGATGTCTCAACCAGCCCTCCAACAAAGCGCCAGCCGATCAATAGGCTCTAATGCAGCATGGCGACGGCACACTGGAGACAATAATCCTGACACCTCCTCCTCCGTGACAAACTCTCCGCTCTCCACCTTCACCACGCCCCGTTGGTCCACAGTCGGACCTGACAGACGGGTCGGCTGGAGTCCCCGCGGATCGATGAGGCCCCTCTGAGCGCCTGTCAGCGGCCTCGCATCCAGCGAGGAGACGCATTAATGCAGATTGGACTCTGCAGCCATCGCCCAGTTTTGCATCACGGAGCTGAGGGCGACGCCGGCTTGGAGGTCTCTGCTGGAGGGCGTTTATGGAAAAAGAGCAAAAGCGTTTTGTGCTATAAATAAAAATGTCTTCTCGGATCTTTACAAATATTTAGGATTCATTAAATGTTCTTTTTTAATTGTCTTCCAAAGACTCCCTGCTGCTCCAGAAAAACACTTTGACAAATGTTGGTTTCCTAAAAAAAAAAAAAGAAGTTTTCTACCTTCAGTTTATTTTTATTCTCTGAATTGTCTCACAACCGCTAGAATAACCAATATTTTAAGAAATGCATAGTTTTAAGTTCAGGTTTATGTGTTTTCAAAGCATATCATAATAAGCTTTGAAAACACATAAACCTGAACTTTAACAAACAGTAAAACAACAAAACAGAAAAAAATAATGCTGTTGACCAAAGTGGTTTTTTTAAAAATAAAACATAAGATGGAATGAGACGACCTTGAAACCAAAGAAAAAAACAACAAAGGAAAATGGGCAAAACACAAAATAATAAATGGTAAATGGACTGTACTTGTGTATCACCTTTCTATCTTATCAAGATACTCAAAGCACTTTACAACACAATCTGTCCTCATTTACCCGTTCATACAGCACTCTACTAGATCTACACAAAGCTAATGGAACTAATCATTCTAAAGGGACTAATCAGAGATTTATCACATTCATACAATGATGGGACTCACATCGGAGACAATAAGGGGTTCAATGTTTTGCTCAGGGACACTTTGGCATGTGACTGCTGGTGGATTCGAACCCCCAACTCTTGCATTGGTGGATGACTGCTCTAACCACTCAGCCACAGCCGCCCCAAAATTATAGGAAAAAAACATCTACAATGAGTTTGTGTTTTTAAGACGAGAGCTAAAAACTACAGTCTGGCCTGGACCTCAGGACCACTAAAAGACCCTATTGTCTCCTTGATCCGGTCTGGACCTCAGGATGACTAAGGCTACGGAAAATGTGATCTAACGTCACGGCTAATGCGATTGGATCGATACTTGAGTTTGTTTCACCGCTCTCCTTTTTGGAATGAGAGCAACGTTCCGAAGGCATTAACAAATTCAAGTATCTCACAAAGTAAAGTCAGGTCCTCTGGATGGATTCTTCTTGTTGGAACATTTTGTCTTTAATTAAAAAAACTTTCAGTCTGAGGAGCTGCAATAAATTCAGTCTTATAAATAGCACCTTCTCATAGTGGATCAACCAGTTTGTTGTTGACATCCAGAACTAGCTGTTCACATGATAAATGAGGAGGGCTTCTGGGTCCCTGCTGACTTCTGGGAAATGTAGTACTTATGAGCAGCGATACAGAGTAGGCTTATGAGAGTGACGCCTGTCCAAAGTATTTTATTATTTCGTTAACTTTTTACAGTATCCCGCACTGTCCCAATCATGTAATATTAAAGTTGACGATGTCGTGTACGCTCCCCCCCCCCCCCCCTTTTCACTCTTACTTTGAAAAACCGCGAAAGAGCGAGTCCGCGGATGTCGAACCGCGAAGTAGCGATGGACTGCTGTAATGTGATTTTAATGATGATGTTGGATCTGAGCAAAAAAATTGGGATTGAGCGTTAAGACCTGCAGTGTGAACGTAGCCAAAAGACCCAGTTGTCTCCATAGACCGACCTGGACGTCAGGACCGCTCAAGTTGCCTCTGAAGCATCTCAGGAAGAATAAAACTTTTACAAACTTTCCAAACTGCCGTCACATAAAATGGTTAACTTAATTTTTAATATGCCTAAAAAAGTTTTATTTATTATTTGTTGTTGTGTTTTTTTTGTTGTTTTTTTACTTTTTATAGTCCTGAAAAAGTAAAATATTCAGAACTGAAAAAGCTTGTAAACATATTTGTTGAAAAAACACTAAGATTTGCTTTAAAAACACTCAATACCTGGTGGGAATTTTAACTGATTTTAATAATTATTTATGTTTCAAAGCAATTTGTAAGGTGTTAAAATGTCCGAGTTCTAATAGATAAACTAAACCGAGAAAGATCACAGAAATAATGAAAGCAAACATTTTACTGCTGTTAGAAATGTTCTCGCTGTACAGTTTTACAGCTCAAACTGGTAAATTTATGAAATGTTTATTTTTTTTTCCCAGTATAAATGTCTTCATGATGTTGTAACGTTGAAATTCACAGCAGCGATCTGAAAACTGATTTAAGGAGCAGAATCTGGACGTTAACCTGCAAACAGCCATGAAGGTGGACACACAATCTCACACTCCCGGGACTCGTACACCAGGAATGATGATGTATAAATATCGACCGCGAAATCTACAAACTGTATAATGTGCGTGCGTGTGTGTGTGTGTGTGTGTGTGTGTCTGATGCAATCCTCATCCCTCCTGGTCAAACTGGAGCATTTTAATCCCCAGGAACAGAGCCAGGATCTGGATCAATAATGCAGAAGTGGTCGTTATCCTAAAAGTATTGTTCCCGGGGGGGGGGGGGTGCAGGGTGGAGGTCTGTTTTTACTATAAAGGTGGATGATGTAGTGGTAGGCTATTGCAGGAAGAGTGGGGGTGGGTGGGGTTAAGAACACGCGCACACATTTATGCTTTTAGTGGAGTTCATTTACAATCGTTACAAAAACCACACACACTCGGAGATCTCTGCTGCCCTCATTGTGAGGGCGCCGTTCTTAACGAACCCCCTCCCAAACCCCCCGACCTGAATCCTGACACCAGGTCCTCCTAAAACTAAAGTCCTCAAAACGACCCCACGTTAACTCCAGTCCTCACTTCGGGGGGAAAGCCGGTATCCACACACACATCCACTCGCCTCGCTCAGCTCTCAGCGGTCATCCGTCATCTGGACGCTGACATGACAGCTCAGTGGGGGTGAGGAGGGGGGAGCGAGGAGGAGAAGCAGGGCGAGTTTCATCCTGGGGCGCCGCCCGCCATCTGGCAGGGAATTCTGGGAAGGCTGGAGGAGGCAGAGACCACCACACGGGTGAAGTGTGGGAGGTGTTGGTGGTTTGGGGCTATGTTGCTGTAAGGCTGGGGGGGGGGTGCCCAAACTCACCTGAACACCAGTTCTGACCAGCTGACTGGTTTCAGGTGGTCTCTAATAAAATAAAATAAAAACTGGTTGATCTTAAAATTCACCTGCAGTTTTCAAGATGTTTGAGTGGTTTCAAACTGAGAAAAGTATAAAATAAAAGCAGCTTAAATGTGCAATAAAATGACCAAGTTTAAATATTTCAGAAAAAGATTAAAACACTAAACAAATGAAAAAAATACCCAGCTTTAAGTTCAAGTTTATTGTCATTCGCATCACATGTGGCACATGAGGTGGATCAAAATTGTGTACACAAGGTCCCAGTTACACCCAAAATAGCAATAATATAAAGTATATCAAAAGAAGCAGTATACAAGGATCTAAGATATACGCTAAGCATTAACATTGTACATTAACATGGTAAACTAGTTTTACAATAGACGTGTTTCACGGGTGTGAACTGGCTTGTCCTTAGTGTAAATGTAGTTTTATTTCTGAAGTCAAATGTTACGTTTAATTTGATTTTGAACTGTTTTTTTCTGGTTCAGGTTTATTGTGTTATATTTACATGAATTAAACTGGTTTATTTATCCATCCATTATCCTTACCCACTCTGTTTATGACCTTTATAAACTGGTTTCTTAATAATCAAATACTGGTTTATCTTTGCTACAAACTGGATTATGTTTTGTTTACGTTTGTTTACTTCTGTGTACTTCATATTTCGTATAAACTGCTTTTTATTTTTGTGAACAAGTTTATTTTAGGCACGGACAAATTAATTTTATTATGCACTGATTTAAATTTGGTACAAACTGATTTGTATTTGGTGTAAACTGGTTTTTATTTCGTTCAAACTAGTTTAAATTTGGTACAGACTGATTTAAAAAAGGTGCAAACTGGTTTGTATTTGGCACAAACTGGTTTGTATTTGGTGCAAACTGGTTTAAATTGGATACAAACTTGTTTAAATTTGGTGCAAACTGGTTTGTATTGGTGCAAACTGGTTTGTATTTGGTGCAAACTGGTTTGTATTTGGTGCAAACTTGTTTAAATTTGGTGCAAACTGTTTTGTATTTGGTGCAAACTGGTTTAAATTTAATGCAAACTGGCTTAAATTTGGCACAAACTTATTTGTATTTGGGCACAAATACTATAAAGTGTATAGGTGTATAAACTGATTAATCTCTTGTTGAAACTGGCCGTTACATCCAAGACATTGAATAATAAATGTAGTAAACTGGTTTAACGATTTACTTGGAAACTTTACATTAAACTGTTTTGTTTTAAAGCTGGTGAAATGTTAAACCAGTTTTAGTGCAACAATCTAGTTTCTTGTAAATCTAACTGCTTTTAATGTTCAGCTGAATTAAAAGAGAAACTTGACTAAGGAGTAATAACTAATTTAAGCAAATTGGTTTAGGGTTGGGTACACTGGTTGACGTCCAATAAACTGGTTTATCTTTAACGTTTGTTTATAAACATCAAACGTTTTTAAATGTTCTCTAAACATTTTTAAAAACTTGTTATTAAACATTATTTTATTTCTAAATTGATTTTTAACTACCGGTACGTTTAAGCAGAGTCAACACACAATAGACTAGTTTATATACGAGGTAATCATGTTAACCTCCGACTAATCTGTTTTTATTGAACCAGTTTTTGACCAGATTAAACTGTTTTATATTAATGTTTTGTGAAATCATTCACACCTAAACTGGTCACAAGATGCTTTGACATTCACTTTAAACCGTTTATATTCAGAATAAACTGAATAATTTGCATTATACTGTTGTGCAACTATGGTTAATTAGTTTCCTTCAGTTCAGACAAACATGCAGAACTTTTAGAAAGAGTTTTCTGAAACTTGTAAGAAGTGATTTTTATATATAAATTTTTTTTTTCCCCTAAAAAAAAAGTGACTTTCTGTTTCTGTCCCGTCAGCCGATCCTGTACGAAGGTCAGGACAAGAACCCGGAGATGTGTCGCGTCCTCCTCACCCATGAAATCATGTGCAGGTAAAACCACTTTGGATTTAAATTCAAGTATTTGAGTTGAACTTTTTCACTGCGTTTGGATTTTATTTCCTGTGTAGGACCTTCTCTGGCCCAGTCCCCTGCGTGTCAGGACCAGTAGTCCTGCTGGGACCAAAGCTCGGTTCTTATACGGTGGAACGTCATTTTGCTGTTGGGTTTAGCGCTAACGTGTTAATTTAGTTCAGAAATCAGTATCGCAGACAGAGCAACAGGTACAAACTGTTTTGGAGTTTTGTTCTTCATACAGACAGAGTACACGCATACATAGACACTGTGTATGTTTATACAAAGTACATAAATACATACTTAGTACTTACTTGTGTTAAAGTACATGAGAGTACGTACGCACTCAATGTAAGCACATACAAAGTACATGCGCACATACGTACAAACAAGGTATGTGCAAATTTTGTATGTATTTATGTACTCTGTACATATGTGCATACTCGGTATTTGTGTATGTTATTTTTACTTACATACTTGCTATATACATACATACAGAGTACACATAGTACATATTGTATTACATACTCTGCATGTTTTTCTGTACGTACGTGTATACTCTGTATGCATGTACTTACTTTGTGTGTGTTTGTGTACTCTTTATCTATGTACGTACAGAGTATGTGCGCACATAATAAAGGTGGGTTGGGTCACCACAGGTGTTTCTGCAGGGCTGATGGTTTCATCCAGATCAGGTGTGGTGAGGTGTTGGACTTTCTGACTCGCCAGTAGAAACGGACCCCGAACGCTTCTAAAAACCATTTCTTGGTCCTAGTTGTGGTGTTGGTTGACCAGGACCAGGATTAGCTCCTTGAGTTTGTTTAGGTCAAGAACGGTTCTCCTTCCTGGAGGCTGACTCCAGACTCGTCACAGTGATGTCATCAGTGCTGACCTCGTCCAGATGAAAACACAACTTTTTCAAAACAACCGTGCAGTCCCTTCTAAAGTTATCTTCCTAAACACGGCACTGTTTTCAGAACCTTCTTCATCCACACGAAGATGCAGGAAGTGACCCAAAATGCAGACGACGATTACATGGATGTACATGTACATATACAGTAAAGTACATTTACAACGCAAACCAAATGTAAGACAAGTATTTTACTGTTCTGTGTTTTCGGCTTCATGTCAGGCGAGACTCTGTCTGACCGCCTGTCTCCGAGTTAAACTGTAATAAAACGTTGTTTTAAAAACACTTCGATCCGTTTGGCTCAGAGGAACCAGTGAGAACCGACAACATCTGCTTGTAGTTTTAGCGATTTTGTTTTATTTTTTGTGTGTGCGTTTCTGGACGAAACGAGCAGCTGTCGGTTTGTCGCTCGTCGCACCAATCAACACGTTTCCTGCCCTGCGTGTCTCTGCTGTCGTCTGCGAGTTAATGGTTTTACTGGTTCAGACCAAGGAGTGAGAAACACGACGAGTGTGTGTTCTGGGTGAAAATAGGACACACACACACACACACACTCGGAGCTGAGGTCTGAGGGAACAGACGTTTGGTTCTCCAAACAAAAACTCCATTTGTTTTTCCTGAAGCTTCGTGGTGTTGAACTGGTGCCAGTTCATTTTAACTGTTCTGTAGCTGGGTACTGGTACTAAATGGGTTTTATTTGCTCTAAACAGGCTTGATTGACCTGTAAATGGTCAGATGCACCTGGGGTTGGTCTGTAGATTGCTCCGCTGTTATTGGTGTAAACGTGCAGCAAACTGAGGGGAGCGTCCTCTAAAACTTTAGTTGTAAAAACCCAAAACACTAAATGAATGTTAAAATACCCGAGTTCACACGTGGAGGAGGCTGCGTGATATTTTCAGCTTTTAATTTTAGCTTGGTTTGTTTTGTGATGCAGGAGTTTCTCTTCGTTTTTTTGAAAGTGTATCTTTGTCCGTACATTTAAATAAATTGTGTGAAAATGTGCTGCTTTTCTGAACCCGTCTCTACGGCCCAGAAGTTTTATTAACCTGGGTCGAGGGTTAAAATATATTCTAGGTGGACGTGAAAGACTCTAGCTAAAATAATTTTTCTTCATCTTGCTGGCTTTTTAAGAGTCAGCAGAGCAGCTTGGTGCTTTTTGTCCCTGTAGACTTACCATAGCTTCCTTTAGTAACAAACATGTTGCAGTGAACTTGTCCGTTTTCTCAAATTTTCATCTTTTCGTTGCTGAACCCTAAAGAATATAAATGTAAATCATAACATTTCCATCCTCTAACTCTTCTCTGTGGTCGGGTTCTGGAGGTAGCAGGTCCAGAGGAGAAGCTCAGACCTCCCTCTCCTCGGAGACACGCTGAAAACCACCAAAGGGAGGCGTCCTAATCAGATGAACCACCTCAGCTGACTCCTTTCGATGCAGATGAGCATCAGTTCTACTCTGAGCTCCCCCTGGATCATGGAGCTCCTCACCCTGTGTCTCAAGTCTGAGTCCGGCCCCCCTATGAAGGGAACTCATTTCTGCCACTTGTATCCAGGATCTTGTTCTTTGGATCTAAACCTGACGACCACAGGTGAAGGCTGGAAATATAGATGGACCGGTAAATCAGAGTTGTGCCCTTCGACTCTTCCTCACCACGACCGACCAAAGCAACCCCCTCATTACTGAGGAAGATACCCTGATACGTCCATCTATCTTCCAGTCCATCCCACCATCACTCAGAATTGAAGACTTCCCCGACCCGCTGAGGGCATTTCACCCTCTTCCGGTTGAGAACTACGGCATCGGACATGTCGAGACAGACTTTAATGTCGACCTTTCATATACAGATGTACAGAAGTCCCTCGATTATCGCGGGGGTTACGTTCCACACAACACAGCGATAGGTGAAAAACTGCAAAGTAGGAACGCTAGATTTATTTTAGTATTTATATATTTTACGGCTTTGTAAACCCTTCCCACACCCTTTCAATGTTCTAAACTCTTAAACCTACGTGATTTTAACAACATACCTATAAGTACTGTACAGTACTGCAAAGTTTTACTCGCCAGCTCTGCAGAACAGCAGCTCGGTTCTGGTCGGGCTCGGTTCCAGTTCTGCAGACCTGCCATGCAGCGACAAAGCCCACCTCCTCGTCCAGTTTAATGTGCACGTGGATTATTGAGCTTTAGGATTATTTGTGACTTTGAGCTCAATAGACCGATCGTTACTTCCGACTTTACGTAGCAAAACTTTCCCTCCATTTCGGCAAAAAGCAGCAGCCAGAAGCACTGTTGGCTTCTGGGTAATGTAGTTCTTTTGACTGGCAAAACTGTGTAGAATTATTCAAAGAAAACTACAAAATGGTGGCACCTATTAGAAGTATTTTTTTCATTAACTTTTTATCCTGTACTGTCCCAATCACCTGAGTAATATTAAAGTTGACAATTGTTGAAAAACCGCAAAAGTCAAACTGCGAAGTGGCGAGGGACAGCTGTAATCACAGTTATAAATAAGCATGTACGTAAATACGTTTTGTAACTGCGATGCACAGCTGGAACATCTGCCTACAGTAGTTAAATGAAGAATGATGAGGAGGATTATGGCCGAACCCGAGGAGCTCCCACCATTTTGGTGAACCTCATCCACCTGACGTGAATAATTAATTAGTAAAATATTTAATAAGTTTCATGGTTTATTTGGCACAGTCCTTCACCTCAATCACAAATTTATGAATTCGATATTTAATAAAAAAATATTTTTAAATTGAAGTAAAAACTTTTGACTTCCAGACGTACTCGGTCATTTTTTTTAAACGTGTTCATTCTTTTTTGTTTGAAATGACTAAAGCCTAAAATGTTTCATGACGGTCTCGTGAGGTAAAATAATAAAACATTTGATTAGTGTCAAATTAATCCATTTCACAGTTTATTACTATTATTAATTTGGAGACATTCACAGGTGCGCAGACTGAGAGCAGGTGAGGTAAAACCTGACCTGGAGCTCCAACAGGAAGTTTACCTGAAAGAATTGGGGACGAATCAAAACAAATGTTAAATAATAGAAAATATTTGACCAATTATTCGACTATCAAACTAATTACCGTTAGTTGCAGATGTATTCATATTAACAGCTCAGCATCAAGGTCGCATGTCAAAACCGGGCATTTCTGTGTGGCGTTTACATGTTTACATGTTTACATGTTTACATGGCTGTCTGTGTCACTCTGTGGTCCTGTGATGAGCTGGAGTCCTGTCCAGGCTCTAGTCCACCAATGGAGACCGACACCAGCTCCCTGCGGCCCTGAAACAGTCTGGATGGTTCAGAGCTGCAGTCGATACGTGACGGAGTGAGTTTATTACCCATCATCCTCCCTGATGGATGTTTGTTTCCACCCGTTAATGAGTGAAGGATCAGTCCATCTGAGACCGTCCCAGGTGAGGACGTCTTTAACGGCGTCCCTGTTGGTTAGTCTACCTCGATCGTGCACCTTTTGAGTTTAGCAGCTGCTTTTTGGAGCTTAATGACCAGAAATAAACTCCTGTTGTGTTTTTAAAATAAAGATTTTCTTTTTATTTTTTACAGATTTTTTTTGTTTTAGCTCCTCTGGAAAAAAAGGCTGCTCTTTACAACCTAAAGTTATTTGTTTTGTTTTAATTAGTTGATCTTCCTTCCATTTATCGATCCACTTCCTGCAGCAGGGCCATGTTGTTTATAGTGATTCATTAATGGTAATAATCTGAATTATTGTTCGATGGAGCTCAGAGAGAGCAACAAAATATGATATAAATGCCAGGAAATTCATGCAGTTGATCAATAATTCAAGGCCTCATCAGCCCGAGCATTTCTCGTGCATCGATCTCGTGCTGCTCATAACAATGATGAAAGTGGTGTTAAATTAAATTCAGAGCGGATTTAAAAACAAAAACAATCAGTGTTTCTGCAGAAACCCTGAAGGAAAGAACTGATTCTTCTGACAGCTGAAGAAACCAACGCAGCTGCAGGTTGAAAACTTTTAATTTGAAGGAAAAGTTTCAACGTTTTCCTGAAGAAGCTGATATCAGCTGATTCTTTTG